GGGGTGCCTCTGTGAACTGGAGACAGAAGGGCACGGCAGCAGGGCAAGGACACATGCAGGATTGCGAGGAACGCAACAGGCGCCCCAGGCCAAGAGAGGCCGCTTGTTTGCAAATATGGGAGCAAAGCAGTTTCTGAATCAGCAAGTATCACCTGTTTACTGTTGATGGGGGAGGGGAAGGCAGTGTGCACGTGTGTGTGCACGTGTGTTGGCCAATTGCTGTTTTTCTAAACATTGTGAAAAACATCATTGCACCTCCACAAGTCCAAAACATACTGAGCATGAGATAATACCCTCTTTATTCTTAACCCGGGGTGAGGTCCTGGCGAGAACTTGTATTTACTTTTAGGCTTAAATAAGGGCAGACAATGAGGACTGGGGATCAGTGCAACCCTGTCCAGCAGAAACATAATGTGAGCTACATAAGTAGTCTTTAATTTTCTGGTAGCAAAATGGAACAGGTAACATTCATTTTATTTGTTGCTTGTTAATCCTCACCCGATATTTTTCCATTGATTTTTTTTAGATAGAGTGGAAAGGAGAGAAGGGGGGGGGGGGAGAGAGAAACATTGATGTGAGAGAGACACATGGATTGGCTGCCTCCTACACGACCCTGAGCAGGGCCAGTGATCGAACCTGCAACCCAGGTGTGTGCCCTTGACCTGGAATCAAACCCACTACCCTCTGGTTTGAGGGCTGACACTCTAACCACTGAGCCAAACCGGTCAGGGTGGTAAAATTAATTTTAGTAATATATTTTATTTAACCCAATATCTCAAAGTAGTCTCATTTTAACATATAATCAACATAAGAATTACTGAGATATTTCACATTCTGTACTTGGTACTATATTTATGAAATCCAGTGTATATTTTTACACTTACACATTTTATCCTGGCCACATCTAAAGTGTTCAGTAGATACATATGGCTGCTGGTGGCCATATTGGACATCATAGGTCTGCAGGAAGAGATATAGGAAGCTGTCCACAGTGAGAAAGTAAGACCAGGGAAAGAAAAACGTATGCCTAGAGGAAGAAAAATCTGAGGGTGAGCAACCTCCGCAGCAAAGGGTGAATCTCTGGTGGGCGTTAACGGTTTCCATCTCCACCCACCCCAAAACAACCTGTTATATTTCAGCTATATGGGATGTTGACGTCTAAGGAAAGCATTTCTAAAAGGGAGAAACTGAATCTTAGCTAATAGGGTAAATGTTTATCTTGCCTTCTTTCTGTGTTTTTCCACAAACGTTAAGTAAGGAACCTAGTCGTCCCTACCTCTCAGAGATGAGTTAAGTTTGTCCAGATGTTAAGTTTGGCCGGATGTGAAAGTTATGATGATCACTTTGGTTTAGACAGAACCAGAGACTGAGGAAGCCAGGGCCATCAGTATCCCTCTCAGTACTGAGGACCCCTGAACCCGAGATTGGAGGGTGTCTGTCAGGGTTATCGTGCCTCCCACTTAATGAAAGGCGATCCAGAAGAGAAGCCAGCCCAGCTGGTGTGGCTCAGTGGTTGAGTGTCAGCCCATGCACCAAGAGGCTGCTGGTTCAGTTCCCCATCAGGCCACATGCCCAGGTTGTGGGCCCAATCCCCAGTGGGGGGCGTGCAGGAGGCAGCCAGTCGATGTTCTCTCTCATCGATGTCTATATCTCTCTCCCTCTCTCTAAAATCAATAAAGAAAAATTATTTTTTTTTAAAAAGAGAAGTCACGCTGCCTGTTTTCAGCAGAGGCAGAAGCTGGCTGTTGCTTTCATGGGGACACCAGCTCTCCTGTCATGACTGAAGCGGGGAGGGGGGTGATCGGACACTGAGAGGCTCAGCACTCAGTGGCTTTGCCGCCCTGTGCACATGTTCAGACTCCCCTGAGCCTTAATGTTTCATCCTCTACTATGCCCAAGTCAGCGGGTTAGTGCAAGAGTCAGAAGAGGAAATGGACTTCTATATGCTTTGAAAGCTACTTTTTTTTTTTTTTAAGTGCTTTATAAAAGAAAGGGATAGTAAATATCAGTCTTTCTGTATCTGATTCACCAAATCTCTTATGTGCCAAATGCATGCTAGAGGCTCGATTCCGGTCACCAGTTGGGGTTCAGTTGATTGGAAGATGCTGGGGGACTTCTGTAAGCTGTGGAGATTCTGTCAGCAGATTGGCCGTGTTCTCGCTTTACCCGAGGTCATCAGGCCACCAGCTGGAGTTTGGGAATATGTTTATTCATGTGAGAACTTTCATCTTTATGAGGTGTGATCCATAGCAGTCCTGGCCCACAGAATCTCAGTGTCAGATCATTGAGATGGTCTGCAGCCGGGACCCCGCAGCGGTCACCAGGCGGTCACGCACCATCCCGCACGCCCCCGGCACGTCCTGCAGGGGCCTGCATCCGAGCAGGGTCCCGGGGAACGAGCGTACACTGAAGTGTGAGAACGCCCTACTATCCCAGCTAGCGACAGCCAGCGCAGCCTCGGCTTGGACAGCTGCTGGGACCGGCTCTCACTTCCTCTTGAGGCCGCCCTCCTGTCGCTGACGGCTCTTACTTTCAGTAAGTGTCCCGTTCTCTCCAGTTAACATCTGCCTGGAGATACCACCCACTGAGGGAGTACGGAATAAGTTCCATTCTTCTGCCACGTGGCAGGTGCTTGGAAATGGCATTACTTTCCTTTGTTACCAAAAGCCTTGACCCAGAGGCTGGATAGGTGGTGAATGGGGCTATCCCGGGTCAGCTTCTGGTCACCCAAAAAGGCCTGCAGGTCCTGAGACGACGTAGAAGGAGCTTGAAATGGCCTCTTCCAGTTCTGTCTCTTCCTTCGCTCTTCAGAGTCCAGGGGGCTGGTTTAGTGATTGCAGTTTGGAAGGGGGTTGGAGAACTCGAAGAGGTTTCTCAAAAGGACAAGAGTGTGGAAGTGGTGTCTGGGGTGGGCATGGAACCTGCAGGGCACGCATGCTAAGGGGCGACGTCATTTACAGGGGTGACGGACAGGAGGGGATGGTGTGGTGGCCTGGAAAGGGTGGCCTCGCAGCCTTACCTCTCCCTAGCTGTGTGACATTGGCGAATGCACAGAACCCTCTGAGCATCAGCCTTCTGGGTGAACCCTGTCCGGCCTGTCTCCGGGGTTTCTGTGGGACTCTGAAGATAAGGCCAGTGAGCACACTTGATAATGTGGGAAAGGGTCCAAGGATGAAAGGGACGGTGCAGTGGGACAGTAGATGAAACCAGGAACCAAGGGTACCACTAAGTGTACCGCTGTGCGACTTCAGGGGCGGCCCTCACCCTCTCTGGGCCCCTCGGTGAAGCAGGTGAATTATGCACAGACCTCCGAGTGCCTTCTAGACGGCCTGGAGGTGCTGAGGCTCGTTGCTGTGACTGTGGGTCACCTGGAGCATTTCTCCAAGCGTGCCTCTTCCACTGTCCATCTAGGGAGACTTCCTAGAGTTTGGAATTGAATCTTTTTGAGGGAAATGATTTCAAACACCCTTCCAGTGCAGGCCTGGCCTCTACTGTGGGAGGCCCACTTAACGGATGGTGCTTGGCCGTGATCACACCGTGTTTCCTTGTCAGCATGAGGTCCCTGAGCTGATGAGCGATGGCTTCCTTTCCACAGAGTGTCGGGACACTCTTGCCTCTGGAAGCAAACTCTGCTCTGTGAGACATCGGAATCCTCTCCTGCCTAGCTGGAGTGTGTCACATGCAGATTTTACCAGAACAGTCTTGTTCGAGACTTTGAATATTACCAAGGAGCTTTTCAAAAGCATTACTCTCCTCCGAAATACGGCATGCCTGGTAGTTCTCTGAGCCTGCTTTGCCAGCGGAGGCTCCCAGCCAACCAGATCACTGAAACCGGCCTCTGGTCCAGCAGCCCATCCGTAGATGCTGGGCAGCGGAGAGCACGGGGACCTAGCCTATGGTGACAGAGGGACAGTTCCTTCAGACGGCCCTTCCGTGTCTCTCTCCTGCCACTCTGGGGACCCTGTGCTGTTCCTCTCACCTCACCGCAGCCATGTCTCCAGCCTCCCATTTCATTGCCTGGATGCTTGCTTCTAACTCTGAACGTTGCATTTTCTCCTGTGCACCCACCGTGTTGTCGTGGAAACTCAGTGGCTGTAGGCCCGAGTATCCGGTGTCATCGAGTGTGATGGTGTGGTACGTGTATTTGCTCACGCTTTTATTTTGAATTCTTTCCAATGTGACATCTGCTAAAATGTCTCCCTTATAATTTGCTTGGTGATCACAGCCTTCTCATCATTCATTGAGAGCAGGACCTGATCTCACAGAATCTGAAAAGAGCTATGTGGTAAGATGCCTGTTGCATAAGACTGTAGCTTTTCTAAAGAGAATCCTTACTGACTTCCAGGGTCTAGACTGAAGCAATGCCCGGTTAACTTCAGAGCCACTGTTTACGAGAACCATGTGGCTACTGCAGCAGAGAGAGATGTTAGACCACCCCTTTCCTTCTCAAAAAAGCAGGGGAACTTAGGGGTGCTATTTCTACTCTGCCTACATGTGGGATACAGTTAATATATTAGTGCATGACTGGGGATACAGACTTGCATTTCTATCCTGAAATTATTCTGTTTGTAACAGTTACTCACTAATTACAGGCTTTTATGCTGCTGTCTTTTTTTTTATTTTTTTTTAATATTCATACTAAATTCCAAATTCTGTATCTTACCTGTTTTTCCATGCTTACGCCTGGACCCCTCCTGCACTCCACTACTGGAATACCTCTATTTAACCTGGATCTTCAACTCTGTCGTTTCCCTGGACTATGTGCTTCGTCTGGAATGTCACATCTCTTCCTCTCTTTCTTCTTTTATTTTTGTCCCCACGTTGACTGTTTTATGGGGGTTTCTGGATGTCCCGGGGCCACCTCGCAGGAAGCGGTTTGCAATGAGATCATAAACATTGCCGAAAAGTCTGTCCATTACTGCAGCACTGTTTCCCATCCCTTTGACTTTCATCACAAGGTACCCCCTTCTGACAATGCGTCATCTTTCATCATTTCTCAGCAACCTCAAGCCCAGCAGCGAAGAGTCGCCCCAGACAGGAGTCAGGCCTCACAAGATTTGTAAGTACACTTGGCAGACTTCGGTTCTCACGTTTCAGTGGGCTCTCAGGCTTGGAAAGGGGGTCATTGACGGGCGGGGGGCAGCCATGAGGGAGAAGAAATGAATCACTCCCGGCTTGCCTGAGAAGTCCACGTTTCCCGTCAGCCAGGGTGGGAACAGGTGGCGGGTAAACAAAGGAGGTCACGGGCTGCTGGGGCAGAGACAGGTAGAGGATGAACTGCTCTCTGAGGGCTAATGAGAGCTGTGCTGACTGGTTTCACTCCTAGTGTGGGAACAGAGGAAGGAATGGCTAATTCTGACTAGTGCTCAGTGAATAGGACTGATCCATTCATTAAACAAAAAGATGGGCTATCTCCTGTGTGTTAAGTACAGAGGAGTAAACGCCATTCACAGAGGAAGGGAATATGGAATAACCCTGAAAGACGAATTGGACTTGAGAGCTAGGACAGGGGTCTTCTGGAAGCACGTGTGCAGAGGTGGGGCATTTGGGCAACTCCAGAGATGCCCGTGTGGCCACAGGGCACAGTTCACAGAGGAGGCAGAGACAGCTCAAGAAGGAGGTTGGGACCAGACTGTAGAATGCGTGATGCGATTGAAGTAAGTTTAGATTTTGTTCTGCAGGCACTCAGGAGCCTCCAGAGATTTTTTAAATGAGTGCATTGGTTATATTTTGTTTTCGGGAGCTAACTGTGATAACGGAGTAGAAGGTGGATTTTGGAGACTAGGGACAAAGATACTGGTTGGGAGATACTAATCCAGGCAAGAAGTGACGAGCGCCTTAGCTAGGACAGAGTGGGTGCTTCGTGACCTTGGACACATGCAAGAGTACCCAAGGAGACTCAGGGTAAAGAGAGAAGGGAAACGAAGGTAGATCCTTGGAGAACAGCTTTGAAGGCAACAGAGAAGTAGCAGCAGAGGAGACAGGAGCCGCAGGAGCCCCGGGAGAGGGTCTGGGAGCCTCACTGTGCAGAGCCCAACCCCGTGTTCGGGCAGTGGCGCCTCCTGCTGCCCAGGAGGGCAGGAAATGAGAAATACCCTCCAGGTATCCTGTTCGGCAACTGGGACAGCAGAGTGAGAGGTGGAGGCAGGTGCCGCCCTGGGAAGGGCTGATGAGTCAGTGATGGGGTGAAAGGGCTCCAGACTAAGCCAGTAGCAGACACAGATGTGCTGAGATAAACCAAGAACTTCCAGGTGCGGAAAGGGGTTGGAGTCCACATGGAAGGTGTAATTCGATGCAGAACTTGGCAGAGGAGCAGTACAGCTGTGGCAGAGGAATTGCAGCCTCACCTTCCGGTGCTGGAAATAGGGTGCAGAGGCTCACGTGCGTTTGCAGCAGTGGGGGAGGGGTGACAGTCAAACGATGTGAGAGAAGAGGGACGTTAAGGCCGTAGCCCAGCGAAGGGAGTTCAGCATGGCCAGAGGAACCCTTCCTCACACTTAGGAACGGAGGCGGGAGGAGGGCTGTAGAGACTTACACCTGAATGGGGCAGAGTGAGGAGCCCGGAGAGGCAAAGGAGGTGGGGCAGACTCGATGGACCAGTGTCCTGAGCATCATGGGGCCCACCCAAAATCAGAGCTGCCTGGGCGACCCAAGCAGCAAGGTTGCGAGACTTTTTCCAGCCAATCTCCATAGCCAGAGAGTGAGAACAGAGAAGCAGAAATCCGGGGTTACTTTCCAGAACTGAGGCTAGCAGAGCAGCCAAGTGGGTCAGGCGTCCGAGGAGTCCACGCTGTTTGGGAGGCAGCAGGCAAATACAGAAACATCAGGCTGTGTTCATTTACCAACTGGAAATCTGTCCTCTCTTAATTCCTCTATGGAGATCTTTCTTTGGCAGACAGATCCATCTACCAAAATATCGACGCGTTTGAATAAATATATGAAATTAAATTGCCTCTTTGGCTTTAACAGTGGAGAATGAACCTCTTGTTTCTGGGAACTGGCTCCGCTTACTTGTGTCTAGCCTGTCTAGCCCACCGCGAGATCACTGGCATCCACTGGAAATGGTACATGTTTGGCTCATTTGCAGAGTTTTGCCTGCTACTGTTGTGTTTCAAAATACCGAGTAAACAGAATTGTGAACTGGTGCACAGTGGATGCTGCTCAAGTCTTTTTCAACGGAATAAGTGAAAACAAAGCTTTGCATTGTTGCCAAAGCAGATGCCAGATGTCACCACGTGCTCCTCCGCTGTCTCCAGTGGCTGTTGTTAGAACAAGCGGAATAGCACACACCCAGTTGCCTTAGGCCAACAACCAAGTCAGTAAAAATCTTAACCCCCAGATCACTGGGATAGAAACAAAGCTTTCAAGAGTTTCAGAAAACTGACATCCATTATTTAAAAGCAATGAATGAAATGTCTGTTGATGTATTAAGAAACTCAAGGTAGTTTTGCTACACAGTCCATTGGCATATATTTATGTTTTTATATAAATATGACAATTTTATAATATATGACAATTGTCTTGGGCTCTCCAATGTAAATGACCAGACTATGACATCTGTCTCTGGACCTAAGTGACCTCTGACAATTCTCAGTAATCAACATCAATTATCCCATGTTAAGAAAAAGCCTCGGTTAACGTCAAAGGGAGTGGGGGGACATCTAGACAAAACCCTTGGTTGTGGTGAGCACATGAAACTAAGTGAAAGGACTGATTATGACGTGCTTGTCCGAAGTTCTCTGTCCCTGCCAGACTCACTCTATCACCAGGTGTTGAGTGGCTCTCCCCCAGTGCTAGGTCATTAGGGAAATAGCCAATAAAAAACTTTTACCGCCCTGGCCAGTTTGGTTCAGCGGTTGAGCATCGGCCTGCGGACCAGAGAGTCTCAGGTTCAGTTCCCGCTAGGGGCACATACCACAAAAAAAAAAAAAAAAAAAAAAAAAACAACTTTTACCTCCACTGATGAGGAGGAAACACTACCTAAATGTTGATTTAACTGAAATGGCTTTCAAAATCCCTCATTTAATCCTATCAATCACTTAATATTCCTTTTTCCCGTTTATAGATTTAGCTACCAAGCACTATATAGCTATATACCACAGAATGACGATGAGTTGGAACTCCGAGATGGAGATATTGTTGATGTCATGGAAAAGTGTGACGACGGATGGTTTGTTGGTAAGTGGTCTCCTCCTACTTTTCGTACTAGTTGTGTTGTGAAGGGAGGGCTGGGAGGGACGGGCCACGCGCAGAGCGGTGTGCTCCGCGCTGGGAGGGACGGGCCACGCGCAGTTCCTGAGCCATCGCAGGACTGCGGGCCACTCTGTTTCTGTTTGTTCTCGGGACTGTGGATGGCAGTGATGTCGGGCCTGACGACCGAATATGCCACATCAGATGCACAGGAGGGCACTTGTCAAGTCATTAACTCAGTTCTGTTTGTGTTTCTATTGTGCATGTATCTGCTCTGCATTTGGAAATTTTATTTTTTTGAACTCTTATGAAACAACACAAGGAAATGTGACTGAACCTAGTTCTCTACCATGAAACGCAAACACATGTGTAGACATTCTAAAGATCTTATTTACTCTAGCCTTCCAATCACTTTAATCAAAGCAGCCTGCTTAATTAAAACAAAGGATTTGCCTTTATAAAATTGGGGAGAGTCCTGGCTGGTGTGGCTCTGTTGGTTGAGTGTCCCCCCTGTGAACCAAAAGGTTGCTGGTTCGATTCCCAGTCAGGGCACATGCTTGGGTTGTGAGCTCGATCCCTCGTAGGGGACCTACAGGAGGCAGCAGCCAATCGATGTTACACTCCCACATAGATGTTTCTCTCTCTCTCCTCTCCCTTCCTCTCTCTCAAAAAAAAAAAAAATCAATAAAAATATTTTAAAAAATAAGTAACATGAGGGAGAGAAAGATCAACGTTATTGACATTCTGTTACAAAGCAGACGCTTGATATACTTTCCTATTGACATTCTTTCAACAAACAGCCCAGAAAGCAAGAATTATCCTCATTTCACAGATTCAAAGACTGAGGCCCAAAAAGATTAAGTAACTCGCCCAAGGTCACCCAGGTAGCAGTGGGGCCAATATTTGAACCTAGGCCTATCTCTCCCAAGTCTCTGTTCTTTCTGCTCAGGTATGAAGATGATATTGGGAGTCACTGACTCACTCTGCACCTCAAGTTCCCCTGTGCAGATGGCTTTATCTTCTCTCCAAAGGCTAGCTCTTGGCTGGTCTCTCTGGTAAAGCAAATTAAAGTCAGGGCTGGAGTAATGAGAACAGCAAGGTCTGGGCATAAATGGGAAGCCAGAGAGATTTGCCGTGGCCTCTCCATCCTCCTGGAAAGCTGCCTCGGCCCTGGCCGGTTTGGGTCAGCGGTTAGAGCGTCGGCCCGCGGACCAGGAGCCCTCGCTGCTTTAGGTTGATGTGTTCAGAGGGAAACCAGATCTGAGAAGTCAGCAGTGCTCAGTGCAGCGATTTTTGACCGTGCGCCACAAGAATTTTTAAAACGTGCCGTACCTGACTACTTAGTCAGGATCACTGACCTCATTTCCCCTAGACTGACAAATGAAAAAAAAAAAATGAGAGCCAACACAACAATAGCCATCAGTGTGAATGATTCAAAATTATACCTCTTGCCCTGGCCGGTTTGGCTCAGCGGTTAGAGTGTCAGCCTGCGGTCCAGAGAGACCCGGGTTCGGTTCCCACTAAGGGCATGTACCTCGGTTGCTGTTTGTCCCCAGCCCTGTTTGGTCATGCGGGTGGCAGCCACTCAAGGTGTTCCTTTCACATCGATGTTTCTCTCTCTCTCTCTCTCTCTCTCTCTGTTCCTCTCTGTCCCTCCCACTCTACCTGAACAAAAAATGGAAAAATGTCCTTGGGTGAGGATAAAAAAAAAATTATACTTCTTGCGCTGGCTGGTTTAGCTTAGTGGTTAGAGTGTCGGCCTGTGGACCAGAGAGTCCCGGGTTCGGTTTCCACTAAGGGCACATACCTTGGTTGCAGTTTGTCCCCAGCCCTGGTTGGTCGTGTGGGTGGCAGCCACTCGATGTGTCTCTCTGACACTGATGTTTCTCTCTCTCTCTTCCCCCCTCTCTCCCTCCCGCTCTATCTGAAGATAAATGCAAAAATGTCCTCGGGTGAGGATTAAAAAAAAATTTTACCTTTATTTTGGTCAGATCAGCAAAAAATATAACATTTTTTGGTGTGCCACAGAATTGTGTAATTTGTTTGTGTGCCATGAAGTGGGGAAAGTCGGAAGCCGCTGCCCTCGTGTGCTGCAGTCCAATGGAAACTCAACACAAGCCATGTTGAAAACAGCGAAATGAATTTTAATACATTTCATTAAACCCAGTGCATTCAAAATATTCTCATTTGAACATGTAATTGGTGTGGAAAAAACTGAGATATTTTACATCCTTCTTTTCGAACTGCGTCTTAAAAACCCGGTGGGTTCCCAGGTGCCGCCACCCAGGTCAGAGAGCCGAGTGGCAGGCGCTGGGTGGACGCGTGTGGCTGTCAACCAGAGAGCAGCTCTGGTGTCTGTTCACTGGTAGCCTCTTCCAGAAGCATTTGCAGTTGTTACGAGAACTTGGGGTGGGGCGAGGGGCCCCAAATCTGTAATGGAGCATCCCAGCAGCTTGGTAAAGGAAATCTTTCAGGTTCCTCCATTCCTCAAACACTTCAGAAGGTAACCTAATATCAGACCACGGATGAAGTAACCCAGTGGAGCTCATTCTTCTGTCCACAAGGAAAGGGCTCGCCAGCTTCTGAGCGCACTCGGGCCTTCCAGGCTCAGCTCTCTGTGCCCTCCTTGACCATCCCCCTAGGGGTTCACATAGTCTGTCTGATGCATTCTTTTTTTATCTTCACCCGAGGATATTTTTTCATTGATTTTTAGATAGAGTGGAAGGGAGGGAGGGAGGGGTTGAGAGGGAGAAGCATAGATAATGAGAGGGACTCCCACCCGAGCCAGGGGATCGAACCTGCAACCCAGGTATGTGCCCTTGGCCTGAATGGAATCCTTAACCCTTCCGTCTGAGGGCAGACGCTCTAACCGCTGAGCCAAACTGGCCAGAGCAACACATTCTTTGATCTGGGAAGTTTCACTTTGGGAAACAGCTCCAACCCACTGGTAGTGGCAGCTTGAGATGTTGTGTTCAACAGGATTCTGAAGCCGTGTCCAAGCCAACTGGGGAAAGGAAGCCGTGGTCAACCTGTGATGTCTATTAATGAGAGGGTAGTGATGACCAGCATCACACACACACACACACGCACACAGCGAGGGCACGAACCGGATTAGGGGTCCAGCAGATCGGACCTGGAGAAGCCCAGGAAGGGCTTTGTTCCCAAGTAGCTTCATGTTCTTGGCTCAACAGGAACCCTCATAAGGTTGGTAGCAAAGACAGAGTCAAGTTGGGGCTTAGGCAGGCTTAGAAGAATTTCCTTTTGATGTGTGGTCATATCCAGTGGACTTTCAGAAGTCTGCAGTTGAGGAATTCTAAACCCCTGGTACCTTGTTCTGTTGGATCATGTGCTCATTCTTCTAAAACGGAGACGTACTGGGAAGAACAGTGGGCTGGGCGTCAGAACACCTGGGTGCAGAGTCGGCCTCTGGAGCTGTGGGGCCTCAGCGGTGTCACTCAGGTTCTCTGAAAAAAGCTCATTTGGACGAAAAGCAGGAGTATTAAACACAACTGCCTGGCTTACCACCCAGCATTACTTTGAGCCTGAATGAGACCAGGAAAAGTGCTTCGGAAGCCATACACTGTCCTACAGGCTGCAGGGGTGTTACCACGGGCTGTCTTTGGACTCGTGTGGGCAGGTCTTCTCATTGTGCCTATGTGTGTGTTTTTTTATAGGTACTTCAAGAAGGACAAGGCAGTTTGGTACTTTTCCAGGCAACTATGTAAAGCCTTTGTATCTATAAGAAGACTGAAAACCACAGAGATGATTTTTCTTGGATGATGAAGCATAATTCATGAACTGGTCTCTTTATTTAAAAGTTGAGTCAGTAGGAACAGTAACACAGTGGATAAAGTACAAAGCAAAAGAGAGGGACAGAGAAGTGTGTTGTGTTTAAAACCCCGCCTGTCTAAGCTTACTGCGTATCAGACAGGCCTGAACCATGCGCTGAGCAGAAAGGAATGAGGCAAATCTGTATTTACTTAGCTGCTTCTGGGAGCCACTACCCCCTTCCCCTGGTTTAGGTAATCTGACCTGTAGCCCAGAACAGGAGCTGTTAGGCCAGAAACGCCTCCTGCTGCTACACCCTTGACCAGCTCCAGCTCAAAGAAATCTCGGTGTTTAGCCTGAAGCAGCCCTCAGAGTGCCAGGCAGATCCCCAATCACACAGACCCCCAGCACCCCCAGAGCCTGCTGACCCCCCAACACTGCTGGACATCAGTCTGGGCTGCCGTGGCCATCCCTAGACAGCGGTGGAGGCCCCCAAACTACCCAAGACCAAGCCCCTCACTGGACCTACTGAGGTTTGTGGGGAAGTGGAGGCAAAATGTAGGCGCCCCGTGCGCCCCGAGCGCATGCGTCCAGCCTGTGCGTGGCCATGACGCCCTGCTGTTCAGACAGACGAGCACAGAGGTTTGCCTGGAGAGCTGGTGGCCAGGCAGATGTTAAATCGGTGTGTCTGATGCTCCTGAGGTCACATGCTGTGTCCTTTCCCATGTCACTAGCTTCCACAGACGTTCCCTTTCGGGGCAGCACAGTTTCATGGACCGGAACGCCATTGCTGATCTTTCTTTTCTGGGTTGATAGTTTGGGATTGGTAGGCCTGTTCTCGGAGAGAACCAAGGATGGTGGCGTTCCGTGTTCATTTAACACAGGCTGTTGTACACTGGATGCCGGAACCACGCTGAGCAGAGACGCACCGTGTCTTCATTTTTACTCCCCTCAGGAGGCCAAAGGCCACTAAGAAAGTAGTCCCTCAGGGTTGTGAACCCGGGTGCACCCTGGCAGGGCTTCTCTTCTGAGCAGAGGTACAGATGCAGTGGCCCCGAGGTGTGAGGAGGCGGATCTGCCACCCCCAAGAGGCCAGGTCCAAGGGGGGAGGCCCCGCGACACCTGGGTGTTCTGTCCAATTCGAACTGTTTACCGGCCTCTGTTAGACCCCTTGGAGAATGAAAGTTAGAAATGACCCATGCCCTGCCTGCCGGGAACTCAGAGGTGACTGGGGAAACAGACACACACACAAACAATCGAGAGAGACTGTGATATGTGCTAAGAAGGGTGTGAGAGAGGAAGAGATTCATTTTCCCTGGAGGGATCCTAGAAAGCATTGTCCTGTTTGTCTCCTTTGGCTCACTGTTGAATAGCTAGGATGTGGAAGAACCTTTGCCCAAGGCTACTTTATGGCTGAAAATACTTGGAAGTGTATCCAGGGTCTTCAGACTGTCACCCTCCCCACAAACACACATCTAAGGTCACAAATAAGAGTAGCAGTTCTAAGTGCAAAGGTGTGTACAGGAACCCTGGCTTTCTGCACATAGCTCAGAAGTGCCCAGGACCTTTTCCCAAAGTCCGAGTCTTTACGAGTAGGCGAAGTTTGTCCCCCGAGTCTCTGCCACAGCTTCTGCCTCCACTACTTATCTTAGGATCCTATCCGCTGCCCACCCCCATCAGACAGCCACAGTGCCCGCACTTCTCTCCCTGTCCTCTTTTCAAGTCTTGATCACTGACTTATTCACACTAACATGTAAATGACTGATACAAGGAATGTGTTACCTCTTCCCAGACACATTTGTTTTTAACGAGGGCAGAGCCTTGATCCCAAGAGAAAAGATTGTGAAACTAATGGTGGAAGTGCAGGTGGGGTGGAGGAGTTTCGGGTTTGAAATTACTTAAATAAGACTCCTGGCTGTGGGAGGCCCACTCCGCCGTCCCGGGGCACTGTGGTCTCGACTCCGAGGGAATACAGTAGGAGCGTTATGTGCACGTGCATTTACACAGCAGCATTTCACCCATTTTGAAATGTAATTCTTGTATTGGCTAATGTGTTTCCTAGTCTTTCTTAGATGCAAACCATTACTATCATGATCTAATCTAATAGTTTTTTGAGGGGTGCTTCTTGATTAAGTAGGTAATTTTGAACACCTCTTTAAATACAGCTAGAAAATAAAACCAATTTGTAAAGCCACATTTGCATATGATGCCAGCCTCACGCATTTGTATATCTTCGGAAACCCACATACGCCTCACCAATTTGCCCGTCTTGAATAAAAGCATATGTTCAAATCTGCATCCAATTTCAGCTTCCTATGTATGACAAAACCAGGAACACAGGTTTCCAATGGCTCTTTTGTCTTCAGACATTTAGTAGTATAAAATACCTATTTTTATGCGGAGATGTTTATACAGGTTGATTAATAGCAGTGCAGCTGGCTGGCAGCATGCCTTGCAAAGTTTGGATGTATTGGCCGTGCTTCTGGGTAAAGGCAAGCCCCAAACTACTTCTCTTTTGCAGTCTCTCTGGGATCAGTAAAAGAAAAACATCATATGCTTAAGTGGGACTGTAAATATGTATATTTAACTTTGTATAGCCCATGTACCTACTTTGTATAGAAAAATAATTTTAAAAATTTGAACTGAAGGGTGGTAAAATAAGGAAGACATGAAGTTTTTTGCATTTTTATTTAAATGAAGGAATTCCAAATAACTCACCGGCAGATTTTTAGCACAAATATAGCCATTGTAAAGTGTTAAAATTTTAAATAAATAATCATTATTTCTGGGAGAGAAGATAACTGTGATCTCAGTTACAGTTGTTTTTTTGTTTTGTTTTTGGGTTGGTTTATTTTGTTTGGTTTTGGGGTTTTTTTTGTTTTGTTTTGTTTTTTTGCAGTTTTATTTATCTGAAGTAGTATTAAGTCCTATTGCTAGAATAGGTTACTACAAAAAAAGATTATATTCTGACAGAAAAATAACTGACATTATACATAACCAATTAATTTAAAGTGTTGCCATTTAAATTACACACCAAGAGCATGTACTGTGCAGACACAGGTTCTTCTGTTCATTTATTTTTCTTTATTGCAGTGGGTTGATTTGATAAATAGAGGTGTTGAATTACTACATTTGCTGTACATATTATTTAATAAACTTTATTCAGAATCATGTGGCATCCATTTGTTCTTATCATTCATTGTTTCCTCCTTTGCCAAGCTTCCCAAAGGAGACTCATATTGGCTTATATTTCTCTTATTCTCCTCTCCTTTTTCATTCTTTAAAAATATATATATATTTTTTTTATTTTTAGAGGAGAGAAAGAAACATTGATGTGAGAGCAAAACATTGATCAGCTGCCTCCTGCACGCCCCCTACTGGGGATCGAGCCTACAACCCCGGGCATGTGCCTGATGTGAAATTGAACCGGGACCTCTCAGTCCATGAGAGGATGCTCAATCCACTGAACCACACTGGCCAGACTCCTTTTTCATTCTTAATCACTTGCCGTTTGGCCTCTACCCCATTCCTTGAAGATACCCCTTCTTACCCAATTCTTTTCTCAATAAACTGACTCCATGACCCTCTTTAAATTATTGTTGACCATTTCACTATTCTTTCTATATGTTTTTATTCTGATTACAAAAATAATGCATATATCTTTAAAAGCAAAACATTATGAAATATGTATAATGGGTCTTGACTTGCTCTACCAGACAAGGGTACAGGAAGTGACACCACACTGGGTTTCTGTAAATCAAATTACATCTGGCTGCATCCTCCCTTGCTACAGTGCTCAGAAATGCCCTCTGCCCCCCCCCCCCCCCCGCAACCCAACTGTGTCAGGGCCATGGCACTAAACATCCAGCCTCCCCTGGCATCCCAGGGCTAGGATCACCTCATCACCGTTTGGGATGAGGCCTGCTGCACACGGGCCATGGTTCCCTTAACAGAAAACCCAAAACCTCCACCCTCTCCCCTGGTTCTGTCTCGCCTCCTCCTTCAACTCAAAGCACGTCTGCCCTGCTGTCTCTTTGGGGGACTCGGTGGGAACCTCCTCAGTGGGCTTAGGCCTCAACCAGTCCTGGGAGAAGGTTGTTTTCCAGAGGTCTGAGCCCCAATGCTGGGCCCTGAGTCAGGGCTATGTCTCTCATGCCCCCCGTCTCGTTCCACAAATCCATTAGCTGTAACCCTCAAAGTACATACGGAACCCACCCACCCTACCACCACAGCCCAAGCCGTTTTCCCTCACACGGATCATCGGATCATCGTTTTCTTTTTTTTTTTTTTTTTTTTTTTTTTTATCCTCATCCGAGGACATTTTTCGATATTTTGTTCAGATAGAGTGAGAGGGAGAGAGAGAGAGAGAAACATCGACATGAAAGCGACACATCGAGTGGTTGCCACCCACACGACCCAACCAGGGCCAGGGACAAACTGCAACCAAGGTACATGCCCTTAGCGGGAACCGAACCCGGGTCTCTCCGGACCGCAGTCCGACGCTCTAACCGCTGAGCCAAACCGGCCAGGGCCGGATCATCGTTTTCTACCTGGTCTCCCTGCTTTCAGTCGTGCCCCCTCCCGTTTGGTCTTCACAGAGCAGCCAGAGCGCCCCTTTTAAAGTTGGTCCACAACCCTGCAGCGGTCTGGTGGCCTCAACGCCACGGGCACACAGCCCCGCCCATCCCCCTTACCTTGGCTTCGTCCTCATTGCTCTCTCCAGCCACGCGGCCCTATGAACCTGAACTCCCAGCGGGCTTCAGCTCTGGAACCTTACACGTGCTCTCCCCCGGGAAGGTCATTTCCCCCAGAGCTGTGTGGCTCTCGTCCTTCAGGTCTTGGTGGCCTTCTCTAACCACTTTATACACACAGGACCCTGCTGTCCCCGCCCCAGCATCCTAGTCTCCTCTGCGCGTCTCTGTCCCTTAACACATCCATATAAACTCCCGCATTGCTATTACATGCCAAGGTCTGTAGTGTCTAACATGGTTGGTGCTCAGTCACTTCATCCTTTATTGATCAGATAAAAGAGTGAATAAAAAAATGAATGAACCCATGGGGTCAGAGATTCTAGAACTCAGAATACAATGGTGAAAGAAGGGAAACATTATCTTGCCACTTTCCTACGACAGCAGAAATAGAGCAGAGCTTAATTTCTCAAATCATTCTGGGCTCATACAAACCTAGAAAGTGAAAATTCTCAGTGATGACAGTCATCCCCACAGAGATCACCAGGGCCAACTATCCAGTGCACGGTCCTCCGAGCTTTCTTTGCACAGGTGACATACCCACATGTATAAACATGCTTTGCATAGTCTTTTATTCCCTTAACAATAGAACGGGGACGTATCTCCATATGTACTTAACCAACCCCCTTTTGATGATGCAAATGTTCGAAATTATTGCCAGCTTTCTCCCACAACAAACACTGCTGCACTGAACACAACGATTGGCTCAAAGAGCAGGAACATTTCAAATCTTGAGAAACTGCCAAATTGCCTTCCCAAAAAAATAAATAAAAGGCAATGTATTCTCCCGCCAAGCCCACAGGAGTGTCTGTTTCCCCACCACCCAATCTCAACAAGCTCATTATCAGCTTCCATGAAATGTGGTTCCTTGCTTCCCCTGCCTTCTCTCTGGCCAGCCCCTCTGTCCTCTTTTTCTCTTTGCTGAGTTCTCCGCCCTGTTATTTTCTCTCGACATCTCCTTCAAGACGCAGCTCTCTCACCACATAATCTGAGGCCGAAGAGTCAGTGGTGTGCGGTGCTTTTCAGTGAGGAGTGTTGGAAGCCCAGCGCTCCTGGCCATCCTGAGCCATCACTGCAAAGGGAGCTGCCTCGGCCTCAGGCAGGACAGACCAGAGATGCACTTTCTGCCGTGTCCGTCTTCCTGCGGCTGCCGTCCTGTTGGCTGCGTGTTCACCGACTGAAAGCAACGGGTCACACGGCCCCCGTTGGCTCTCTGACTCCAGACTAGGCCAAAGGGCCTTCCTGTTTGGCTTCCCTGATGACAATCCCAGGGCCTGGCAGGCCCAGCGTGGATATTTACCCTTCGTTGGCCTGGTCATGTTGGCCCAAGGGGGTGGAATATAATTGCACCCACCAGAATCGGGGGGTGGGGGAGTGGAACAGGCGAGGCGAGGGGTGACTGCTGTAGAAAGGCAAGAAGGCAGCTGCATGGGCACCTCAATGGCCTGCTGTGCAGACTGGACCTTGAGTGTCTTGAGACAGACTCTGGAGTTGGAACTCTATTGCCCTGGCGGAGCACAGACTTCGGTGCAGCTGAGGGCGGGCTGTGTCCTGAAGCTCTGCTGGCCAAGGTCTGGAGAAGGACACGGCGGAGGAGGGGCTGATGTCAGGAAGAGGGGCAGAGCTCAGCTGTATTAGGACTCTTCTGAGAAGGAACAAAGACTAGTGTTTCAAAGTCACGAGCACCTGGATGAGTTGTTCATGGGTGTGTTTGTCAAGTCTGAGAATGTAGAAATCAAGCCTGTCTCGGGGACACTTGCTGAGGCTTTTTAGGAAAAATGAAAGAAGTTCCTACTTGAGCCCTAGCCCAGTGGGTTAGAGCATTGTCTGGATACACCAAGGTTGCCGGTTTGATCTTGGGTCAGGACACATACAAGAAGCAACCAATTAATGCATAAATAAGTGGAACAACAAATCAGTGTTTCCGTCTCTCTCTCTATCAATCCATCTCTCTCTCCTCCCCCTCCCTTCTCACTCTAAAAATTAAGAAATTAAAGAAAAAATTATTTAAAGTTCCTACTTGATACAGGTAATTTATTGAATGGATTAGCCAAGAGGTGGTTCAGATTGAAAATATTTGAGATGAACCCATAAAGTCACAAGGCCTTGATGGGATTATGAGTGGCCATGTGACCCTTTAGGAAGTGTGTCCTGGAAGATGGCTGCTCTGCTCTGCAACACCCTCACTCGGCCATCAGCAGAAGCAAAATGCTGCGTGGATGAAGAGCCTCTCTGGAAAACTTGTTTTTCAAGTGAGATCTGACCAACGGAGATGGATCTGCAAAAGAGGTAGCTCTGAGAATCATTTCATAGCAGCATAAACCATGTAGATGGATGAGCGCTAAAAGCATCAAGGTCGGTGAGATCTCAGAGTCCTCGGGCCCTTTCAGAAGATCTGTAACGTCAACACTGTTTTCACAAAAATGTCGAGATGCGTGTGGTGGCCAGCTTCCAAGCAAGCCTCAGGACTCGCAGCCTGGTCCCCTCTGCATCCTGTCAGGGTTGGCCTGCATGACCGAACATGAATCCAGACGACGACAGAAGAGGGTATGTCACTTCTGAGTCTAGGTCCCAGAAGCCGTGTGACTTCTGTCTCTTGCTCTTGGGGAGAAACAGGCTATAATTTCGAACTTCTGAGTGCCAGGTACCTTATTATGTTGGAGAAATGTGCTCGTTCCTCCCCAAACGAGAGGTATGAGAAAGAACAGTGGGCCAGGAGTCTGACGACCCGGGTTCAGAAGACCTGCTGCCTCTGATCCTTGTTCGGCTCTGAGGCCTCAGACGTGCCACTTAGCTCTCTGGGCCCAGGTCCCTCATCTGGGAGGAGGAGCTGCCTGGGCCAAAGTGGATTTCTGCTAGGGAGGAGCAAGAAGAAGTGTTTGGAAGGCAACCTGCAAAGCCCAGCACAGGTATTCCAGGGCCTGTGGTACACCAGCACTGTCCAGGCCTCCTCTCATTTCTCACGCCAATCCTGGAGGTAGGTATTCTTTTTTTTTCCTATATTGATTTCAGATAGAGAGGAAGGGAGAGGGAGAGAGAGATAGAAGCACTGATGAGAGAGAACATTGATTGGCCACCTCCTGCATGCCCCCCACTGGGGATCTGGTCTACAGC